GAGTGTATAAAAAAACACTTGAAATAGAAAAAGGGCCATAACAAATGTATTTTTCATATTTTTCCGAATTTTTCTGAAAAATATGAAAAATTTCATGAAAATTTTCTTTGAAAATACTTTTCATGAAAAATACGAACCCTAGACTAGAAGCATAGCATGCGGGAATAATGAGTAAATTCTTATTATTATTTTTTTATCAGAACGCAAGGAATCTTGTTCTCGTCCTTGTCGTCCCCTCCGCCGCCCGACCGCCACCAGCGTTGACGAGGAAGGGGGCTGGCCGCCCGGGGCTGCGCAGTGTCCCGGGGGTGAGACGGGACGGCCCGGCCTGGCCTGGCCTGGCCGCCCCTCTGATGCGCCCGGGAGAGACAGCCTTGACTTTGAGCGCGCGATACAGCGAGCAGCAGCAGCAGCTCGCCGCCCGGAGCGGATAGGGCGGCGGAGTGGTGGGCGGGGGAAGAGTTTTAGATTTATTGCGCTGCCTCTTCTTTCCTCCCCTTCCTCAGTCAAGTCACTGGCAGCTGCCGGGTCGTGCCGTGGCGGGGTGTGGCGGGGCGGGGGGGGGGGGGGGGGGGGGGGGGGGGGGGGGGGGGCGAGGTGGGGCATGATGGGGCGCAAGACGTCGGCAGCTGGATCAGCAGCGCCGTGTATATAGGCCGATAGCGTGAGCCGTGATCGCGTGACGACACGATCTCTTTGTACCGCGATACAGCTCCACGTCGGACGCCATCATCTTCCTCTTCCTCGGCATGGTGCTGGTGAGCGATCGGCACGTCTGGCACACGGGCTTCGTCTCGTGGACCCTCTTCCTCTGCCTCATCTGTCGATTCGGCGGTAAGTACCCAGCAAAAACATTAAAAAAAATAATTGAAAACTTGCTAAAAAGTCGTAGGACTGAAGAGTATTTTTTTGTTTGACGGAAACATTTCGTGTTTAGGAGTGTTGCTGCTCACGGGGCTGTCCAACATGTTCCGCGCCAAGAAGATCAACCTCCAGGAGCAGTTCATCATGGGTTACGGCGGCCTCCGCGGCGCCATCGCCTTCTCGCTCGTCGAGATGCTGGACGAGCAGACGGTGCGGCCCCGACACGTTATGCTCACCACCACGCTCGTCGTCATCCTCTTCACCATCTTCTTCCAGGTACCCTTATGCTCATGCTTCATGCTCCAGGGAAATCCGGTGACGTTTGTTTGACAAACACTAACACTCTTTTCTTCCTCAGGGCGCGACCATCAAACCGCTGGTGAAGCTCTTGAACATCGAGAAAAGCAGAGACTGCGCCAAAACGCTCAATGAGGAGATTAGTGACAATGTAAGGACACACGTTCCGCCTGGTGAACCTATGGGAAACGACTGCGTACCCTTGTTTTACGATCAGTTTTTCACGATATATCTGAAACCCATAGGTCCTCGATCACATGATGGCGGGCATCGAAGAAATCGTCGGAGTCAGAGGAGACTTTTACATTCGAGTAAGTACGGCCCGTCGTCATGCTTGTCCGATTCAAAACCGTCGCCGAAATGCTATGCTGCACAACTCACTCGCAAAATATCTCATCCCCCTTTCTGCTCCAGCGCAAGTGGGAGTACGTGGACGAGGTGTACCTCAAGCGCATCTTCCTACGCGACGCCAACAAGGAAAACTCTCTGACCAGACTGTACGAAAAGCTGGCCCTCACGTGAGTCGAGTAAAAGTTTAACGCCTCGAGGCCCGAGCCCCTCGTTAACGTTATAGGGCCCCGGTACCGGCCGACGCAAAAGCAATTACCGGACCGGGGGACGGCGCGAAGGACGCCGGCATCTAGGAGTCTTTTTACGCTCCCCGAGATTTATAGTGAGCTGACCCCCGACCCACAAGCATGATCTTATTTCTCTATAAGGGGAGCCGCAACTATAGGTGCGGCGACATTACATTACTGAAACCACAAACGTTCTTGAGCAATTCAGAATAACTAAAAGAGATGCAATGTGGACTTAAATTTATAGCAATCGAACCCAAGTATATACAGAAGTATACCCAGCAGTGTACCCAGCAGAGAAAATATGTATGTAATTATCCACACGTAGTGCAAAAGTATCTATAATTTTTTTAAATCCCCTGCAGGCAACATTTCGCCCACCTGTACGGCCCCGTGACGCTGGTGGAGGACCACAAGGCCACCATCCTGCACAACGGGGACGCGCTGGGCGAGGTGGACTCCGAGGAGACCGGGACGCAGACGTCCGTCGAGCAGGGCCTGGACCAGCGCTTCCCCGGCGTGCAGCTGCGCCGCCGCTCGCCGTACGACTGGCCCCCGGCCCCGGGGCCCGCGCAGGTGCGGGCGTCCTGGCAGCCCGGGACCGTCGGCGGCGGCCTCCCCCCGGCGCTCGCACTCCGGCGGACGTCGAGCGCCGCCGCCAGGTCGATGGGCAGCACCAGCTACCACCTGTCGGCGCAGGAGGTGGCCGAGAGCACCGAGACCCTGCGCAAAGCGTTCCGCTCCAGCCCCTACCAGAAGGTACCTCATCATCATAGCTTTGCTGGGGTACTTCGGGGTACTTCACTGAAAAAACAGTACACAACCTCCACAAAAATTATTTTCAAATTTAGTGGAAGAAATAAATTAAAAACTCAGCGAAAAAGTCGAGGGCAAAAAACAAAAAAATCAAGCACAACACACTAAAATAATCACAAAAAATCAAGGAAAAAACCGGAAAAAAAAGAAAAAATTGTGTTCGCTTGAATTTCCAGTGAAGCTCCCTTTTGTGAAACATGCTTTCTCTCTCTCTGACTTGCAGTACTGCGGGCGCTTCGGCCGGCACGCCGTGGACGACGAGAGTCAGGACCTGTCGGACCAGCTCAAGCGGCGCCACCTCACGGCCCGCCGCATCACGAGCATGGCCGCCCTGGTGCACCGCAACACCCACGTCAGCGACCCCTCGCTGGGGGCGGCGGGCGCGCTCACGGCCGCGCTGGGGCTGGGCCAGCTGCCGCGCCGCCAGATCCACTCAGGTAAGGACCAGCATCCCCCCCTCCCCTGGATCACGGGGGATCTCTCTCTCTCTCTCTCTCTCTCTCTCTCTCTCTCTCTCTCTCTCTCTCTCTCTCTCTCTCTCCACCGTGCGCTGGCGGATCTGCGGTGGATCAAGGGGGTCCGTAGCGGCCACTGTCCTCAAGAGAAAGATAGGAATCGACCAGAAAAGTACGTCTGTTATTTGCCGTAACGAACCGCGGCCAAAGTTCGGCCCGATGCATGTAAGCTGTCGTAGCGCCTGATGGGTAGGCAACATCTTGCCTGCAGCGCATGCGTGTACTGCGGGCTTGCCTACCCCAAGTCTCGCAGGCGCCGAGCTCTCGTAACTTGCCAAAGGAATCTGTACAAAAAAAAAAAAAAAAAAAAAAAAAAACGGGCAATGCATGTACTTTCTTGACGATCCCTTGGTTTGCGACAACAAATTCAATGACGGTGGTTGTCCTGGGCCTTTCCAGAGCTCGACGAGCTGCTGCCGGAGGAGCTGGAGGGGATCGAGGTGATCCTGCACCGCGCCGGGCAACGCGCCACCCGGCGGCCGCCGAGCTCGACCAGCAGCACGAGCAGCGGCGGCGGCGGCCTGGCGGCCGGGGCGGGCGCGGGCGCGCTGGCGCTGACGGGCGCCCTGGCCGGGGTGGGCGCGCTGGCGCCGCTCGCGGGCCGCGGGCTCCACGTGCGCCCGCACTCGCTGCAGCCGCGGGGCGCCGCGCCTCTCGTGGCGCGCCAGGAGACGTCCGCGTCCATCGCCGTGCTGCCGACGGCCGAGTCCGAGCCGCTCATCCCGCCGCCGCCTCCACCCCCCGCCGCCTCCGCCCCAGGCCCCGCGCGCCGCGTCTCGCTGCAGATGCCCAACCTGGAGGGTATCGCCGAGCACCCCGCCGGGCCGCAGCAGCCCCCCACTGCGCCGCCCCCGGCCAACAACGGCGAGGAGGAGTCCTCCGTGTGACGACATCATGGGGTGTTCCCAGTCACTGTGGGATTTACTACGCGCCACTTATTTGAAGTCATATCGCCCTTTTCTTCGGACTTCTTGGCTGCTTTGTTTCTGGACGCAGAACAGTTTTGTCCGACTACAAGAGGAGCGTTGTGGAGCTAGGGAAGATGTGCCAACCCTAGCTAACAGCCAACAGCCAAGCCACCAGCAGCCAGTCCTTTCATGTAAATTTCTGGCGAGAAGTCATCACCTTGAATAGGACACTCTGTGTAGGGATGTAATATTTGTATTTTATGTTCAAAAGTTTTGAAGAATGTTCATCTATCTCTCTCACTGGATATATAAGTCCCTTTGTCTCTCGACCCCTGATATTTGGAATGTGTAAATGACTTTGAATTTAAAGTAATAATAGACAAGGCATCACGAAGATAATGCCTGTATCGACTTCCTAGCAGTAAGAATTTGAATAAACATTGAGTGTCTAATGAAGGGCATGGTTCATATATTTTTGCAAGAGACCAAGGTATCTTATGAATCTGCTTTTGTTATTTTAAGAGATGTGATGTAATCTTCGAAAGGAGAATGATGAGAAAACGTACTATAGTACTCTGCGAGTATTCAACCAACGGTGAAGTCCATATATGTTGTGAAACTGTATCTAAGCTGCCTGTATTAAACTTTCTATATTTCTACACAATGGCTCTCTTACTGCTCACGGACCGCAGTAATCAGCAAGCGTAGGAAATAGGAAGAGTACACTACTGTCAAAGGACCGTTTTCTAATTCCTATTTAAAACTTGAAGGTCCTGCCAAACCAGCCCTCCTCCCCCTCCTGCTCCCCGCGCACCTCTCGGCCCACTCAAAAGACCTCTTCCTGTGTCGCGGCTGGCGCTGCTTTGGGTCCTTTGCCCGCCCTATAGTCCGCGCTTTGGCGCTACGAGATTAGAAAGCGGCGCAGATCGCGATAAGGAACACAACTTTCTGCGCATCCTCCAAAATTTCCTTATTGCGCACGGATGGCGCACACGTTCATTAAAAGTTGTGAGTGGATAAAGTGGCAGCGGCAGCGGCAGCGGCAGCGGCAGCAGCAGCGGTCGCCGCTACGCTACGCCACGCCCGGAAACACAAACAGAATGGTAATCAGGGCCTCATTGACTCTCTGCCGCGGCGCTTTGGCGGCCATAGTCCGACCGGACACAGCTGTACACAAGGAGAATATTTGTTGTGCCGCCGCCCCTCGCTCGGGGAGCCCAGAGGGGGGACAGCAGCGGCGCGCTGATCGACCCCGCCGGCGCCGCCGCCGTTGTTCCTTTCACCCTCTGTCGCGCCTCTCTCGCTCTCACGGGCCAACGGCGGGGTATCAGATGAGAGTGCCGCCGGGGCGGCGCACGCCATGCGGCCCCCCAGCCTGTCAAACCCCCCGCCTCACCAGGCCACGTCGCACGTCGTGCCCCCCCTTTCCCGAAAAAAAGAAAAGCGAACAGCAAACTATAAATTTATACTATTGTATCTCGGGATAAAAAGAAAAGCGAACAACAAACTATAAATTTATACTATTGTATCTCGGAATAAATGTTAACAAAAAAAACAAAACAAATAAATTTAGATTCACAATAATTTTTTGCAAAAACACGGAATATCAAGGAAGCTAATTGCGTTCTTGAATAATGCGACAGCAGGTTATCATTCTGCCAGTACGACAATGATAAGGTCATTTGGGCGGAGAAAATTCTTCCGAACCGTCGTTTGGGATTATTATTATTATATTATTTTCCTCAGTGTGAAACAGCTGGCGGCACGGGCCGAGCCGGTTCACACATCGCGCCACCACCTACCATCGGGCACGCCGGGGCCGAGTGAGCCGAATGACCATTAAGCTGTCGACTCGGACAGGGCACGAGGTGGTGGGCGCGGAGGCGTGCCCCGCAGCTTGGGCTTGGCTAGCCCCCCCTTCCCCTTCCGGACACGCTTTCCTTTCCATAAACTCGACGCCAGCTGTGCGCTCTCCCACCACCCCTCCCTCACTCGCCACCTCCGCTCAGAGAGCGCCTGCCGAGTGTGCGATAGGCAACCCGCCGGGCGCGGGCGTGCGGCGGGCTGGCCTACCCGGCCGCTGGCGGGCGCTTATATGGGCGGCGGGGGCTGCTGGGGGCGATAGTCTGCCGGAGGATGCAGATGCCACCGCTTAACTTGCGCGCCCCGAGGTCGCGAAAGAGGCGCCAGATGATGCTGCTATACTGCTGCTACTGCTGCTACTGCTGCTACTGCTAATACTGCTGCTACTGCTGCCACCGCTGCCATCGCTACTGCTGCTACTGCTGCTACTGCTG